TTCCATGAAGTTAATTCCTCGGGAAAGTCCGGAAAGAATGCACTGACATCAACACTCCCTCGTGTAAGCGGTGTGTTAACAACTACCAGCTGTCCGCATCAGTCTCTCCAGTCATTTCCCCATTAGTTGGCATGAAATGCAGAAGCCCTCAACAAATACCTGAAAGGAAATACAAGAGAAGGAAAACCAGAGTATCCCACCCTTGTCTCCCTGATATCTAAAGGAATTTGGAACTCCTGCCCTGACAACTGACACTGAGTGTAGCCTGTATACCTGAAGAGGAGGCTCCTTTTCTGTACTTAGTCCCTCTATTTAATTTCACACCAAACCTTATTCCGCTTGCAAGTGTAATTGTCCTTGCTCTGTTCAACAGAACCACCCTAATCTGTTCTATAATGTATTTGATTATCTTGTCAGTAATTAATGATCTTGCTATTTCTACTTTGCCCTCAGCTGCCCTGCTTTAATTAGGCTGGAACATTAATATCCTGGAGCAGCCATTTCCCAGTGTTCCCAGACATGTGAAGTGATAGGACATTTATCTCCGCTCATGTATCTTGTCTACACATTGGCTTTCTGGGCCCTTAATCCCTTTCTAGCAGGATGTCTTGTTATTAAATAGCCACCTGTTTAAAAATCTCTTCAGAAACATACTAGACTTGCTCTTATACTTAAACAAACTTTTCAGTATTGCCTTTAAACATTTAGAATCTAAGGTATGTTACATCTAGTTGCATTTTCATAAGGAAAGGGCAAAGGAAGATTTTAAAAGCAGATATCCAAACCACAGACTTAAATTTCATTGTCTTTTTTGCTAAAAGGAGATTACTGTAAGAGAAGATAAGAAAATTGGGAAGGCTATCCACAAGGACTGTACTGCACAATATTAAAAGATAGTTCCTGCCATTAAAATACCTAAAAATAAAACAGGAGGTAGAAGAGACTTACTGGTCATTTAAAAACATGTCCTTATTTCATAGAGAGGTGACATGACATTGTGACTTACAGAGTTAGTGCCAGAGTCAAGAATTGAAGGCAAGTCTTCCTATTTATGATCTAGAATCTTTTGCTATACAAATCTTATTCTAATAAGTAAAACATAAGTTAGTGATTGGTGACTTATAAAAGATTCAAAGAGGACGGGGACTTGAGATGGGCTTTGAGAGAAGGGTAGGGTTTTCTCAGGCAAGGTGATTTCTGCAGCAAAATCAATGGAAAATATTTGCTGTTGATTAACCTTTGGAGGAAGCATTGAGGGCAGAAGGCACAGGTCAGAAGGCAAGGATCTGAGGAATGAGAAACTGCACTGGAGCCTAGATAGTAACTGAAGATGCATTTTTCAATAAGTTTGGAGACTAAAGGAATGGGATACGGTGGTAACTTGAGTGGGTAAAAGGCTGAAAGGAAGGTTTGTTGTTCATTTTGTGACCAACATGTTGGGAATAATTTAGGAAATAAGATCCCAGAGGAGGCAGGATGGTGAGATCAAATGTACAGATGGATGGTTGGTTTTGTGTAAGAGCAAGGGTAATACTTCCTTTGTCATAGTCACCAGGTGGCAAGGAGAGGCAGGTAAGGGGTTGGAGAGGAACAGAATTGAAGCAGCTTATGTTGAATGCCTTCATTCTTTTGGGAGATGAACCCATGAGCACGTCCTGGGCCTGAGGCAGGGAGGGTCATTTCAGCCATGCGAGTGAGAATGGATCTGACCTCCCAGGGCATGGGGGTTGTGGAAAGAAGTCAAGGAGAGATTACATGAACAAGCTTTGCCAGCAGCATGGAGAGGACAGTGAGGTTTAGTCTTATTTTCTCCAGTTGTGCTGAGAAGAGTGAGGGGAGGGGGAATGGAAGTAGCTCCTGAGAGTTCCCAGGGGTTAAGAGGACCATGGTGGGAGAAGCCAGAAGGCCCTGGGGGTGGTAGAGAATGAATGTGGAAAAGAATGCATCATCCAGCACAAGCCCAAAAGGGAGGCTGGAGAAGCTGGGTAATGGACAGGGATGGGATTAGGAAAATCAAGAGGGCTGGTCAAACCTTACATCAGTCTTCGGGAATAGGGAAATGGTGCAGTGTGAGGACGGGAAGTTGTTTCAGTGTCACAGCTTTTGGTTTTATAAATACCATAAGAAGCCCTAAACCAGACTCAGCATATGTGTCTATCTGTGTCCTTATAACCACTCCACCAGGATATTCTTGCCTTCATGTATTCACACTCAAATTCCTTGTGGGATTAATGGCTCAGGGGTTGGGCTATAAGTGATTTTGGTTTATATGATCTGAAGACAGAAACAGTTAATCTCCCTTCTTCCTTTGATGGATTTACTTTGTTCTTCCTTGTCATCAACACATATTCATTGACAGCTCAGTTCTCTTTCCAACTATTTATTGAGTATCCACTCTGTCCAAAATCGTGTTCACATTATAAATAAAAAAAATAAGACATGGATCTCTGTTTACCCGAAGTTTGCCATTTGATTAATGTAGATAGGCATGTAGGGAAACAATGTCAGTATGGTACATTAAACCCCATGCTAGTAGTATGATGCTAACGGGGGCTACACAAGACAAGGGTTCTATGCCAACTGCTCTGAGAGACTTGCCACCTTACACAAGGCTAAATAGGATTCTTTAATGTAGAACTTACCAGCGTTGCTAATATGTTTTTGTGCATCATGAATGTATGTGGAAGAGCAGAGATCTGGTATGCAAAACCTTCCCCAACTTATTTGAACACAAAACCCTTTTTAAGTGAATGACTCAAGGGATTTATACGTCAATGGGACATACCCAGAGAAGTGGTGACATAAGGTTCTTGCTAGTGGGAAAAAAAATGTATTTATATTTTTCAGACTGACCAGATAGGGGTTCCCTCCAAATCCATAAATGACTTTTGAAGTTTGTTTTTTAGTACTATTAACAGAGTAAAGATGTAGACTTAGAGGGGTTTAACAGGAAGATTTTAATGACCTCTGAGCTGATCATTAAGCTAGACTTGGATGAAACAGAATGTCTGGTCATTCTCTCATTTATGGGCCATTTAACATTTCTTTCTCCTAAAGAAATATTTAATAAACACAATATTGAGTTCCTCCTGGTGCTTCTAATTAACAGACCACTTAAAGATCTTTGTTAAAGGGAACACTAGCTTTAGGAGAGATTGCAGGAGCTAATATATGCACTGTAGTGACCAAGCATAATGTTAAACTAAGGATTTGAACATATAAAGGCTAATGACTATATCCATCATTATGGAATTTCTGACAATGACCTTCTAGTCTCTCTTGATATTTGGCTTTCGGGAAGGATTTTGGAATGAATTATTTCCTCTCTTCACTATCCTCTGTGCTGTACAAAAGTGTCAAGATAAACTCAATTACCTGCTCTCTATTTAGCAATGTGCTGGGGAAAAATAGATCAAGGAAATCATTTCATGAGTCATGCCATTTCAAATGCTTCTAAAATATTTTTTTTTAATTCTAGGCTGTCATGATAGTATAAAAGCATACATTTCATTAAGAAAGTCTAATATTGCTAAAATAAAGATTTAATCCTGACCTGATTTTTAGCACGTACTGAAGAGATGTCACCTATTAATCCTTAGGAGAATCAAGACCCAGAAAAAACTGTCATTCGTTGTCTCTTTCTCTGTTCAGCTAAATTTAATAAATGCTATTAGCTATGTGCCAGGTGCTATGCTGAGAGCTTTACCTGATGCATCTCATTTGATCTTTACCATAACCCCGCAAGGAGGCACTACTTGCATATCCATTTTACATATAAGCTAAACCGAGGCTTGGCAAGATCATATAATGAGCCCAAATCATAAAGGCATAAGTGGCAGAGAACCCACATGTCTCTAAAGCATTAGGCTGTATTTCCCTCAATCCCAGAGCCCTCCTTTGTCAGTGCTGAACCACATTGAGTTTTGACCCCTCCTAGGAACCAACGTTATTTCTAAAATAAAACCACTGAGTGTTAATAACAAAGCCCTATAAATGTTTAGAAATCTTGAGTTAGGGCTGGGCTCCTCCCCTTACCTAGTCTGATACTTCCATGTTAGCTGGTAGGCAGAAAGGCATAGTATAAAAAGCATGGATTCAGGATTCAAAAAGACCTGGATTTACCACTTAGTAGCCGTGTGCTGTTGAACAATGTCCTTAGTTTGCTGCCTGAACTTTCCTCATCCCTTCAATGGGGCTATAATGCTTTCCTTCCTAGCGTCCTGTGGTACCAAATGAAGCAGCGTGTGCCAAGAGCTTAACGTGGTGGCTGGCTCACAGGAAGTGTTCAATAGTGTTCCTGTTGCTGGAAGCTGGTACATTACACAGAATGCATCCACATGGCTACTTTGCTGTAATGTTCTCAAGGAAATTCTTTTCATTGCTATTATTCCTTAAACAAAGCTATATATTAGAGTCCCCATCGAGCACTAGACTGTTTAGGGGAGATAGCAGGGAGTGATTAATCAAATCAGCCCACTGTCCTCAAAACACTGGGTAAGAACTAATAGAGAAAAGAAAGGTAAAGAAATATGCAGAGTCGAAGAGGTCTGGGAAGGCACAGATAAGGTGCGCGTGGGTTTAGGATTGAGGAAGGATACATAGGAAAGGAGGGCTGAAAGTTTTTACTTCTTTACAGTTCTGTCAGGCTGCCTCTCGCTCAGCTTTGGTCTCACATGACAACTCAAGGAGAGGTGAAAATAACTCGTTAAGAGGAGGTTATACTAACAAGCAGCGGTAAAAGATTATGGATTCATTTTGAATATGCAGCACAGACACTCAAACATATCTACGTACCATTTCCACCAATGAAAACTAGGAGCAGGAAATTGGAAAAGAGCAGAAGGATAAAACTTGGGCGTGGCTGGGAAAGGGGGTGGGGCTGGGGCTGTCGGCTTGGAATGGAAGAAAACCTGCCACCAGTTGAGAATAATCAAACAGAAATTTGTTAACCCAGTCCAGCATCTGAGAACGAGCAAAGGACTCTATCGGTTCCACCGTACCTTGGCAGGCATGGGCTTCTTAAAGGTGATTTCGGCTTGCATCCAAACACCCCGTGGGGACTCCAGCACAGACCAGATCTTCTCTTGAACCACATGGTTCTCCTCAAAGATGTAAACTGCAAGGGTGTCTCGCATTTTTAAAAACCCATAGATGGCGTAAAAAAACCGCAGACAATACTGCAAATTTCCTGGCAGGGAGGGGCCATAGAGTCGTCCAATGTAACCTGGCTGAGATGTAAACTTTGTGTTGGCCAGCAGGTAATACCCTGTGAACAGGACAAACCACTGAGTAGATCAGCAACGAGAACTTGAATGATCTAGCCCAGATTATCACGTGGGAATACTTGGGTAAAGTAGTGGAATTTGCCGACTGAGATTATTTCCATTGGCTTTGAATCAGAGAAAGTACTTTCTAACATCTATGGCTTAAATGATAGAAGATACCTATGTGACTATTGTAAGTAAGCCTCCAATTCTAAGTAAACTTCATAAAGCAGTGTACATTTCCAGTTGGATAGGCTCAGATTCCAGTTATCCATTAGGATTTATACTTTTAATGAAACACCAAAGGATGAAATCATTTTGGGGGCTCCCAACCAACTGACTTAGACTGAGTGCATGGCACTGTGTCTGCAAGGCCCAGCACAAGCTTTTCCATCCTATCTCTGCAGCGATGGCAGTCCTGGGAACTTTGGTTATTTCACATGCGTGGTGTTATGAACTGAGTTGTAGCCTCCCCCAAATCTGTTTTGTTTCAGGCTGTCATTCAATCCAAAAATGTTTCTCAGGTCCCCTCTCTGTACAAGAAAAGGACCCAAAGAAGGATAATTATTTCTTCTAAATAACATAAAGAAAAGTAAGATCAGAAACTTCCACACCCACTTGCTCCACCACCCCTATGGCAAACTTCAAACAGGTCCATGTACCCTAGACAGCCTGGGCAGACGAGAAAAATGTACCTGCTTTTTTCCTTCCTTTTTCTGCTCCTCCCCACCAGTTTTCTTTTGTTTGCCTCAGCCTTTGCTATATAGTTTAGTTCTACCCAATTATTTAATTCATCTAGCAAAAGGTTCTTTGGTTATTGCACGAGTGGTGCTACAGACTGAATTGCATTTCCCCCAAAGTCACAGCTGGCAGTCCTAACCCCAGTGTGACTGTATGTGGAGACGGGGCCTTTGAGGAGGCATTTAAGGTTAAAGGAGGTTGTAAGGGCAGGACCTTAATCCTATAGGACTCATGGCTATAGAAGAGGAAGAGACACCAGAGATCTCTCTGTCCACGTGCACACACGGAGAAAAGACCATGTGAGGACACAGTGAGAAGGCCCATCTATAAGCCGGGAGGAGAGCTCTTTCCAGAAATCACCCGGCTGGCCCTTGATCTTGGACTTCCAGCCTCCGGAACCATGAGGACATAAGTGTGCTGTGTAAGTCACTCAGACTGTGGGATTTTGCTATGTCATCTTGATCAGCCGAATAAGGTAGCTGCATAACGGCCAACAAATTCTGAAATCTAAGTTTAATCTCTCTTTTCTCTACTTTATGCCTTTTAATGGCTTCTCATTTCTTTTATTTAAAAAAATCCCAAATGCTACTCTGGCCTGCCACACCCACAATCTGTATCCCCTCCATTTTCCTCCACTCGCCTCTTTCCCCAAGTGTCCAGTCATTTTCAAACTTGAGGACTTCCCAGATGCTGTTCCCTCTACCCGGACTACTGCCACTCTTCTGGTTGATACTCACACTTCCCTCAGGAAAGCCACCCCTGAGTCCCTGACCAAAACTAGGTTCTTTGCTCTATTTGCTCTCAGAGATCACTCTTCATTTCTTTCATAGCACTTATCACAGTATGTAATTATAAGTTTATTTGTGCATATATTTGTCTAATGTCTCTCTTGCCCATTGAAATGATTGTCAGCCAACGAGGATGGGGTTCACAGATCTGCTCACTACTGTACCCCCAGGACTTAGTCTGGTCACAGTCAGAAAATGTTTTCACAGGGTCTGTGTTTCTACAAGTTAGGCAACCTCTAAGAAAAAACTACCAAATAACAGGTAGAAAATTTTGAGGGCATTTATCAAGGCCTTTCCCAGGGCCTAAAGGGGCCCTGAAACTTAAGTGTCATCAGCTTACAGTCAGCTCACCCCGTGGTGCCCAGTATATACATGATTGTGGAATAAATGAATTAGACACTAATACCCTCTTCAGAACAAGCTCTTTCTACCATCTACTGGAGTGGGCTTCATGAGGGATGGCAGTAAAGTGATCAGGTAATCTTTACACACGGGGAGCTCAAACCAACTGCTTTCTATGAGTACCTTATATATAATCCATCATGTATCCAACATTTCCCAATAGGTTTTATAGCTTTTATTACCCCATGATATACTTTTTATTTTAGTAATATACACATAGCATACATAGCATAGAAGTCATCATTTTAACCATTCTAAAGCATACAATTTAATGGCATTAAAAACATTCACAACCACCACCTCTACCTAGTTCCAGAACCTTTTCATCACCCCAATCTATGTTCATCACCCCGTCTGCACCCAGTGAACAGTGACCCCCCCATTTTCCCTCCCCAGCCCCTGGTAACCACTAACCTGCTTTCGGTCTCTATGGATTTGCCTGTTCTAGATGTTTCATATAATGGGAATCGAATAGCTTTTTAAAGGTACTTCTCCCTCTAAAATGAAGAGCAAGATAATTTCCAAAGGTTCAGCTATTTAATTGACTGGCAAATACTTTTGCTACCACAGCAACATGAACTCCAATTTTTAAAAAATGGTCAAACACAAGATTACCAATGGTCTCTGCTTCTGTGCAGCTATCTTAAAAAAAAATTTTTTTTTTTAAGTTAGAGTCTTGGGAAGTGTGGGGTAAGAATGGCAAGTGGATCATGAAATGTATCCCCTGCCCCCAGTCACGTTCCCACATGGACAGACTCATGAGTTACCTGTGCCTGAAGTGTGGTCTCCAGCCCGGTACATATTTGGTTTTACTTTCACTCGAGTCCAGCCTGGACCTTCTTTATCTTGGTAGAAGTTGCAGAGGTCTCTCTCAAAATTGCAGCTTGCTTCTATGGCACTGAAAGGAAGCCCTGAGTGAAAGAGAACCAAAGTTAAAGAGCCAAACCCAGGGATCTGAAAGGACCACAGCAAGTGGTTGGCAAATACACATCAGTGTCAGGGGAGACCAAGAAGTGAGACACAACAAAGCCTTTTTACCCTGACGGCATGCTGACAGGTAAGCATCAAACTGAATGTTTCATAGACAGGAAGATTGTTCTTTTCCTCCCTAAGGGGACAGAAGGAGCTCGGTTCACATTCTCTATAAAAACAAAGCAGTGCCAGACTTCAAAAGAAATTTCCTTTCATGATGTAAAGACAGGGAGCATTTATTCACATTCTTCTTCACAATTCACAATTATTCACAGAAAATTAAAAAGAAAGAAAAAAGGAAGGAGTTTAAGGAATTCTTAATGTCTAAGACAGATATTTTAGAAATCATATTTTCCAGAAAGAATCTCCCTTCTGTGGGTCAATTTCTGTGTCAGAAGCATAGCCACTGTCTGTTTATAATTGATGTTAGTAATGGGAGCTGATCTATTTGAAGGAAATCATTACCCACTATAAATCACTCTGTTCAAAAAGTCACACCAATTCCTTCACCCATACTGCTATTGCTTTGACTTCGGCTCGGTTCTGGTATTGTTTACCCTGGCCTATAAATGTTACCCCATTCCAGATTGCCTGGAGGGGACAGAACATAAAAGATTTCTGCTCTTTTGAGAAAAACTTGGTGCTAGCAACAAGTGATTGTAAAACCTCACTGTGTATAGATTCCCCTCTGAGTCCAGAGAGGATGTAACTGCTGGAGTTTGGGATAATTCAGTGTAGCCAAGTGGGATCCTCTTCTACATGCTAACATACATTGGTCTAACCCTTATGGCCAGAGAGAGAGGGCATGGTTTTGATTAATTGGGAAATCATATTTAGAGAAACATATGAGTTCTGGGAGCAGTGATCTGAAGAAAAAGGGAATTATTCATGGACAGACTCTCTATACTCTCAATTTGTCAATTTTCAAAGCAAGAAAACATTCAGGTGGGCTGAGTTGCTGGCCCAGATTTAAGGCGACAACCAAATGCTACAAGGGATCCCAGATTCAATCTTGGTTCAGGAAAACAAATAGCTATAAAGGACATTCTTGGGGCAATTGGCAAAACTGGTATGTGTACCATGTGCTAGTTGATAATATTGTATCAGTGTCAAATTTCCTGAACTTTATATAGTACATTAGAGAATGTGTTTGGTTTAGAAAACACACACAGAAGTATGGGGGTAAAGGGGCATAATGTTTGGAATCTACTCTTGAAGGGTTGGTAAAGCAAATGTGGCAAAATGCAACAATTTCTAGATCTGAGTGAACAGTATATGTGAGTCATTTTTCATATTCTTACTAATTTTATCTGAGTTTGTATATGTTTATACAAAAATAAAGTTTTAGGAACACCAAATTAAAAAAGAAGTAGGTGACTAGCTGTACATTACAAAACAGGAATAGGAAGAAAATGTTCCTGTCTAATTGGCATCTGGCTGTATCTCAGGACATAAGTCTCAGCAAGCAGACAAGGAAGTCTCCCTGATAAGCCAGACAGGAAAGAGAGATTTCATAATGTCAAGAACATATGATGTCATCTGAACAAGGATCCTCTGACTTCCCCCCAAGTAGATTTGAGCCCTGGGCAACCCCATGACGGTCTCCAGTCTTAGTCACCTGTCTGTCACCTGGTATGAAAAAGCAGAGGAAAATTCAGAATCTACAGATGGCCACCTGCCTCAGAAAATGGCACTCTCAAAAGCCACACATAGGGGAACGACAGGTGGGTGAAATTACTCATCAGGGATATAGCCCAAGGAATATACTCCTGGGTGGCCCCAAGAGAACCATATCCCATTTATTTGGTGTATAGGAGGGGCTGAGGGGTGGTATTAAAATTTGAAAGTGCACAAGGATCAGTTCACTCCAGGATGACAAACTAAGTCACACAGAAAGGACTTTCCTGAGGATGTGACTATTTTCTTTTGTTAAATGCCTAGTCCTAGTAATGGATAGTCTGAGGTCTGATAATGAGACGGTCTGATAAAAAGAAAATTTCAAATTCAATGCCTTAATCTTTTCCACCCAGAATGTGTCTTCTACCATGAGACAGTTTCTAATTCCTGATGATGGGGTAGAGGGCCTATTTGTGGCCCAAAATGATCTCCCGAGAGATTTGGGGTGGATGGAAAGCCTTTGCTTTAGGCTGGTTGCAGAAGCATGGCTCAAGCGGCAATCACAATTGAGTGTTAATGACATATTTGAAGCATAGAGAGAAATCAGAGACAGTTAAAGCCTCTGACCATCAGTTGATCAGAAAAAAAAAAAAGAAAAGAAATAAAGTCCCTTTGAGCCAGGTACCAAAAAGTATCATAATATAAGATTTAGTTAATTACTTGCTATTTGACATTTGAACATTGTTGAAATGAGAGGCTCTGATTTAATAATAATAATAATCTAATCAGGTGGAGGGTGTTGCAGTTTGAGAAGAATCATGTGTTTCTCATCCCTTCCTCTACTCTATGACACTCATGGAGATGAACTTAGTATCAGTCCTAGAGATCGAAAAGGTGCATCAGCCCCTATAGTGATATAGAGATTTGGGGTGCAGTGTGCCCTTTAGGCAGCTAAACTTGTCCAGTAGTTTTGTTTTAGAACAAGTCAGCCTGAGAGCAGGCTGAGACAGCTGACACGGGGAGGAGAGTGAGTGGGTCCTGGCACTAGACAGGACTGTTGATGGATCAGGGGCTGGGCCACTGACTGGACTGTGGCGAGGCTTGAGGGCAGCTGAGCTAAGGAAGGCTGTGGCGACCTCATATGTAACCAAGGCAACAACTGGAGCCTGGTTTCCAATTAATCATGAGGTCTGGGCAGTGTGTTGCTAGCGCATGGCCAGTACTGGGGTTTAGGCCCAGGTAGACATCCTTTGAGAGGTATAGCCATGTGGGTCAGGACTCTCCCAGTCCATGGCCTGTGTGTGGGGTTGACCCAAGCCCAGATATTAGGCCTGCAGGTGCCAGAGCAGCAGAGCCCTCAGTTTGGGGTTAGGCATTCAAGGATTTACAACCTAAAAGGAGAGCTTATTCTGAGTGAAAGAGAACCAAAGTTAAAGAGCCAAACCCAGGGATCTGAAAGGACCACAGCAAGTGGTTGGCAAATACACATCAGTGTCAGGGGAGACCAAGAAGTGAGACACAACAAAGCCTTTTTACCCTGACGGCATGCTGACAGGTAAGCATCAAACTGAATGTTTCATAGACAGGAAGATTGTTCTTTTCCTCCCTAAGGGGACAGAAGGAGCTCGGTTCACATTCTCTATAAAAACAAAGCAGTGCCAGACTTCAAAAGAAATTTCCTTTCATGATGTAAAGACAGGGAGCATTTATTCACATTCTTCTTCACAATTCACAATTATTCACAGAAAATTAAAAAGAAAGAAAAAAGGAAGGAGTTTAAGGAATTCTTAATGTCTAAGACAGATATTTTAGAAATCATATTTTCCAGAAAGAATCTCCCTTCTGTGGGTCAATTTCTGTGTCAGAAGCATAGCCACTGTCTGTTTATAATTGATGTTAGTAATGGGAGCTGATCTATTTGAAGGAAATCATTACCCACTATAAATCACTCTGTTCAAAAAGTCACACCAATTCCTTCACCCATACTGCTATTGCTTTGACTTCGGCTCGGTTCTGGTATTGTTTACCCTGGCCTATAAATGTTACCCCATTCCAGATTGCCTGGAGGGGACAGAACATAAAAGATTTCTGCTCTTTTGAGAAAAACTTGGTGCTAGCAACAAGTGATTGTAAAACCTCACTGTGTATAGATTCCCCTCTGAGTCCAGAGAGGATGTAACTGCTGGAGTTTGGGATAATTCAGTGTAGCCAAGTGGGATCCTCTTCTACATGCTAACATACATTGGTCTAACCCTTATGGCCAGAGAGAGAGGGCATGGTTTTGATTAATTGGGAAATCATATTTAGAGAAACATATGAGTTCTGGGAGCAGTGATCTGAAGAAAAAGGGAATTATTCATGGACAGACTCTCTATACTCTCAATTTGTCAATTTTCAAAGCAAGAAAACATTCAGGTGGGCTGAGTTGCTGGCCCAGATTTAAGGCGACAACCAAATGCTACAAGGGATCCCAGATTCAATCTTGGTTCAGGAAAACAAATAGCTATAAAGGACATTCTTGGGGCAATTGGCAAAACTGGTATGTGTACCATGTGCTAGTTGATAATATTGTATCAGTGTCAAATTTCCTGAACTTTATATAGTACATTAGAGAATGTGTTTGGTTTAGAAAACACACACAGAAGTATGGGGGTAAAGGGGCATAATGTTTGGAATCTACTCTTGAAGGGTTGGTAAAGCAAATGTGGCAAAATGCAACAATTTCTAGATCTGAGTGAACAGTATATGTGAGTCATTTTTCATATTCTTACTAATTTTATCTGAGTTTGTATATGTTTATACAAAAATAAAGTTTTAGGAACACCAAATTAAAAAAGAAGTAGGTGACTAGCTGTACATTACAAAACAGGAATAGGAAGAAAATGTTCCTGTCTAATTGGCATCTGGCTGTATCTCAGGACATAAGTCTCAGCAAGCAGACAAGGAAGTCTCCCTGATAAGCCAGACAGGAAAGAGAGATTTCATAATGTCAAGAACATATGATGTCATCTGAACAAGGATCCTCTGACTTCCCCCCAAGTAGATTTGAGCCCTGGGCAACCCCATGACGGTCTCCAGTCTTAGTCACCTGTCTGTCACCTGGTATGAAAAAGCAGAGGAAAATTCAGAATCTACAGATGGCCACCTGCCTCAGAAAATGGCACTCTCAAAAGCCACACATAGGGGAACGACAGGTGGGTGAAATTACTCATCAGGGATATAGCCCAAGGAATATACTCCTGGGTGGCCCCAAGAGAACCATATCCCATTTATTTGGTGTATAGGAGGGGCTGAGGGGTGGTATTAAAATTTGAAAGTGCAC